GTGCGGCACAGCACTACCTGGCGCCCTCCCATGCCCACTTGCTACCCAGGGGTGCCCTGATCGCGGCGCTGGGAACCTGCCTGGGGCCCTGCCTTTCTGGGGTCCCACAGGCTGTCTCCAGCAATGTCCACAGACACGGCCCATGGCCCTTTGCGCTGGCTCTGCAGAGCACGCCTGGCCTTCCTCTCCGGCTCCTGGGCCTTTCTGTCCACGCTCTGGGGGCCTGTGCGGCTCCTCAGTCTCACCCACCGCCCTCGCCCATGTGCCAATGCCCCGTGTCCCTATGTGCCAACAACCCTGCTCCGCTTTCGCTCCCCTGATCTCCAAACCCAGGTTTCCCAAAGGCTGCAGAGTTGTGGACTCGGCTCATCAGGGGACTTGTCCAGACTCACCCTTGCAGCCAGCTCTCATCTCGGCTCCCCTGCAGTGACCCGGGAACGTTTACCAGACATGCGGGACGCTCCCTCCCGCGCCTTGGGCCCCATCAGGGCCGGCCAGTGGCTCTGACCTCCTGATCCTTCATTGCCTCCTGCCCTCTCGACTGACTCACACCTCGTCCCTCACCTGGCCTTGGTCACGTCCCTTCCTTCCCACCAACTGGTCACCCCACACAGACCTGAGAAGGTCCCTCTGAAAAAAGGGAGGTGGCGGTGCAGGGGGTGAAGTTAGTGGGGGGAGTGACAGTCTGGGGGACAGGGAAGGAACCGGCCTGGGGATCCTGCTCGGTAACCAAGGGGGGAGCATCAGATGGAGCAGGAATCTGGCTTTGTGATCTGGTCTGGGCCCCTGGCCTGGAACCCTTGGGAAATTCGGGCCCCCAAGACCTCTCCCTGGGGGCCTGGCCCTGTCTGCCGCCTTCCTCTGTCCCCCCCAGAAGCCCTTCTATTCCCTCTCACTCCCTAGAGGGCACTTAAGAGAAGGGGTAAGGAGGGGCTGGCAGGCTTCAGGGTGGGGCTGAGAGGGTGTGACGGTGACTGGGGGGCAGATGCCAGGATGGCACCGCCAGGAGTGTGGGCGGACAGGCTAACAGTGGCCCAGACCCCACGCTCCCCAGCCGGACCCTTCAACCCGCCGCCACCTCAGCTGGCGTCCCGGCTGGGTCCCCACGGGATGCTGCTGGGGGCCGGGAGGGTGGAGGGAGAGGACGCAATGGGGTGGTGGAGGAGGGCAGGCGGCGTGTTTGCTGAGGCCCGCACACTGACCGTGCCGGTCTCGGGCACCCGCTAGCCACCCACCTCCGCTAGGTGGGCTCAGGGGCTCAGGTGAGCTGACAGGCCTGTCCTGGGAAGGAGTCGGGGTGCAGGTCAGGGAGTGGCGCCTGGAACGTGACAGCGGTCAGCAGCGTGACGCTGCCCTGCCTGGGGTGACCACGTGAAGCCTGGAGGCTCAGGGCTAGGTCTGCGGGGGCGTCCCTTGAGGGGCCGGGCTTGTGGCTGAATCTGGTCCCTGACCCCAGCCCCTCAGCTGGGCCTAGGTTCTGCTGGTCTTTATCTGGAGCCCCAGCTGTGGCCGCAGAAAGTGGCTGTTTCTCTCGGCCCGTCTCCCTACCAGACCCCGTGATAACATGGGGCGGGGGTGGCGTGGGAGGGCTGAGCAACCCTCGAGTGGGGCACACAGGCGACTCCGGAGCTCTATCCCGTTGGTCTGGGTGGGGGTGGCCGAGGCACAGGGCGTGGGCCAGGGAAGGGAAGCAGGAAGCGGGGTTCGGGGAGCCCTGGGCTATGGCTCCTTAGGGGCAGGACCCCTGGGCTCGAACACGATGGTGCTCAGTAAGTGTGGAAGGCCAAGCTTGGGTCCTCTGAATCCGGCCCTGCCCCCAAGTTTCACCCCTTCCGCTCAGTCCACAAACCTTCCCACACCTCCTCCGCCAAGTCCAGGCTCCTGCTTGCCGGCCCCTCTCCTGAGCTCCCTCCAGCCAGTCCCAACCAACCCTGGGGGGGCTTCCTCCCCCACCAGGGCCCTGATCCGCAGGCCCTGGAGACTCAGTGTGGGGATCTGGTGTCTACAGCTGTGGGAAGTGGGGCTTACAGGGGTGTCTCTTGATACCCTGTCGACACCCTCCAGGCCCGGGGGCCCAGTCTGCCTCCAAAGCTCCTCCCCTGCCCTCGGCCCTGGCACTCAGCAGAGGAAATGGGGCTCCCTGCGGTGGATCCCTGAAAGCCCAGACTTGGGGTCAACAGCACGCCGCCCACCAGGGAGCACCCTCCCCACCCAGCATGCCCTGCTGCTTCTGCTGCCTCTGCAGTCGAGCCCTGGTGCCGGCTGAGCTGGGCTAATTAATGGCTGAACTCTGTTATCAGTCAAGCGCTAATTACTCTTTTTAATCAGGGCTGCCCGGTGTGGAGGCTCCTGGAGGACCAGCAGGGGCTGGGGCAAGACTGGGGAGCCATGACCTCATCCCTCTTCACGCAGACCCACTCTCCTTGGAGCCTCCCTGCTGCCCGGAGCGTCACGCTTCCCCTGCCAACGCCTGCCCTCTCTTCAAGATCTGGCCCAGGTGGTCCTCGCCCATCATGGGCACAGAAGCCATGGCTGAACCAGGGGGTGAGGCCACGACCCCAGCTGGCCTTGGTCTCCAAAAGGAGCCAGGAAATACCGAACCCCACGTGGACAGAAGAGGTCTGAGGACTCATCAGCCCAGGGGTGAGCTGGCATGGAGAGGTCCTGGAGGGGGATTCCGGGTCTGTGGGTAAGCCTCCCCCATGTCACCCAGTCCTGGGGAGCAGGGCCCACCAATCTGTGAGCGCCTGTGGCACTAGATACACACGACTGCCCTGTGCAGACGGGACCCCACACCCCCTTCCTCACCCCATTCTCACAGACAGACAAGAGACACACAGGCCGAGAGATAAAACCTCCCAGAACAGAGATAGACGTTCACCCAGAGACACCAAGATTCGTGCACACTCCCACCCGACACAGACGTCTGGGGCGCGTGCGCGCGCGCACACACACACACACACACACACACACACACACAGCCAGGGCAGGAGGCCTGGGAGAACAGAAGCTGCCCCTTCTCCTGCCCCGGGCCCCCAGGGCTTCCCGTTTACGAGACTTTATCTATCAAAAATATATTAACCCAGAAGCCTGTTTCCATCCGAGTCTCGATTCCAGGGACATTTCTAGATAAGCCTTATCTCGCTGCTGGTGCATTAGCCCCGCTGGTCGGGGGCCTGCCAATCAGCGCTGCCCCTCCTGCCCTGGCCGAGGCGGGACGCCTGCCCATGACTTCATCCCGTGAAGCGGGCAGGCGGAGGGGGTGCAGGACACTGCTGCCCGTGCCCCCCGCCACCCAAGGCAGGGGTCCAGAGGGCACACCCTCAAGGCATGAGTCATCCAGAACCTGGTTCTCATCCCAGCATGCGCCCCAGCCCCCGCCCCCTAGAAAGCTGGAGCCCATTACCTGAGTCTCCCCGACAGGGGGATGAGCTGACATAGCCTGTGGTGGTGGCTGCGGAGGGCTTGGCACACAGAGGCCTGTCCTCCATAAAACATGGGCTGACCCAGGACACTGGGCACTACCCCAGCTCCTGCCCATTTTACCGGTTGTGCATCCCCCTCAGGGCTGTGCCTTAGCCTGGCCTGGCTAATGGCACTCAGGTTTGCACCGATGCCAGGCACCTGCCCCAATGAGACCGACAGTGGACCAGCTCTGCAACCCTCCCACGGTCTCCCACCCCATGGTGTCAGTAGTCATGGGCCTGGGCCTGGCATCGTAGACACTCAAGAAGGGGTTTCCTCCTCCCCTGGGGACTGAATGGGCCAGTGGCTGGGGGATCTTTGTCCTGGGGGCCTCACCGGGAGTGCTCGCCGGTTGTCGCCCTGGGCTCTAGCGGCCTCAGCTAGGTGGCACTGCCTGCCTGGTCAGAGGGTCCATCGGGCAGGGCTGGGGGCTGAAGGAGGGACGGGCGCAGAGCCTGGCCCGCCGTGGGGATGACACACTACTGCTGTGACTGCAGGTGTCCCCTCAGGCAGTGACTGCAGGTGTCCCCTCAGGCAGTGGCAGCGGGGCTCCCAGTTGCTGGGGACACCTCGGGCGAGCGTCCCTATGGTAGGAGGACACCCCCAGGGCACCCACACTGCCTGTACTCTCCTGCTGGCTCATTCTCAGCCCCCCAGCTTGGGAAGCGGGGGGCTGCCCTGGACAGCTCTTAGCTGTCAACCCGACTCAAATGCAGCCCGTTATCTGGCCGCGCTGGGCACATGGCCGCGCTGGGCATGAGGGGCTCTGGCTGAGCCTGGCTTAATCACGGGGACAGCGTGTTCCGAGAGCCGCTCCCTGTCCCTCTCTGTCCCCAGCTCTAGGCCTTAACAACCAAAGTCATTTGATCGCAACCTGCCCCTGTTAATATTTTTAATGCCATTTTTGCAAATTAAAGCATAATGCACCGATTACCAGGATAAAAGGGAGGCCTCTGTGTCCGTCTGGAGGCCAAATAGAGGAACGCTAGAACATCTGTTCACCCTGCAAATGTCTTTAAAAGCTTTGATTTCGCCTCAATCAGTTGGTTCTGCTGTTTCACCCTTTTCTGAGTTCCCGCAGCTTGGGCCTCGGGGTGGCGTGGCCTGTGGCTGCAGGGCTGGCAGAGGAGCCCGGGGGTTGTTTCCAGGGCTTTGGAGGGAGCAAGGCCACCCCCACCCTTGTCTGCCTCAGTCATCCATCCTCATCTCCAGGCTTTGGGAAGAATGTGGGCCCCAAACTCGAGGGCAAGGCCCAGAGACTCCTGGTGTAGGGATGCAGGAACAGCCCCTTCAGACTGCCTCTCCCTGGAGCCCTGCTGCTCCCCAACCCCTGAGGGCACCAGTCTCAGGCCACAGAACCCTTCCTAGCAGTACCCTCCCTGGACTTGGCTGCCCACAGGCCTCCCCTCTGCCCCAGGGCCCAGGAAACCCCAGGGTTCTCCCAACCTGATCCAGGAGCCCCACATCCCGTGGACACCCTCAGCCCACCGAGCTTTGGGTTTGCACCCCTCCCCCCCAGCCCTGCTCTAGGAATAGAGCTGAGGGGATCCTGGTGAAATCAAAGAGACCAGCAGCACGGTGGGGGCCATGGGACATTTATTGCAGCTGGCGAGTGTCCAGCTGCTTGATAGTGGGGGGGGATTGACTCTCAGATGGCCACTAGGCGGGCAGCCTGGGACACACTGGTCACCAGCTCTCCAGTGGAGGCCCACCCCTCATTGGACCTGAGGGCTGTCCCCTGGGGGGAGGGTACAAGGGTTGGGGCACAGACCTTCCTGGTCCCAGCACTGGTGACACTGTCCCCAATACCCTGGGTTCTCACTGGGGCTGAGCTGGGCCCGGGGAGGTCGAGGCACATGTGGTCGGGCATTTGGCACTGAGGCCGGGCAAGGTGGCCCCGGGGAAGGTCACTGGGTGTTCAGGGAAACTGGACCATGCGCTTGTGGGTGTCGAAGACGTAGCGCTTGAAAGACAGGCTGAGCGCTACATGCTGCGTGGGCTCCGGCCGCTCGGCGCCGTCTTCCTGCTTGGCCGCCTCCCCTCGGCCGGCCCGGCCCCGCTTCTTGAGCGAGGGTGTCAGGATCTTCTTGGACTCAGGGCTGAGGCCCCCTGCAAGGCACAGAGGAGTCTGTCAGTCTCTCCCCAGACTGCCCTGGTAGAGTCCAACCCCCGCCTCCTGGCTCAGGCCACCCTGGGCTGGGCCTCCCTGCAGCGCTCGCTCTGCTCTCCGTCAAAGGGCCGGATACACTCTGCCGCCTGACCCCGGGCTCCCGCCTCCCCACATCACCTCCGAACCACTGCTCCCGCTGAGCCCTGGCAGGTGCGCCCTTCCTCTGCTCCAAGCAGCCCCACTGCTGCCCAGAGCGGTCACCCTAAGACGTACACCCCCAAACTTGGCATTCGAGGCTCCCTGGGCTAGGTGTTCTCCAAGAGGCCCTGGAGAGCCGCTCTCCACCCTTCTGGGCCCTGGGGGGAAGCTGACCTCTGCAGCGCACTGGCAGGCGCTCGCCTCTGGGCTCTGGTCAACCAGTGGGACCCCTGGTGGGTCAGAAGATGGGAGAAGAGGCGGTTGGGGTGTTGCTTGGCCCCGGCAGCCAGGGAAGGGAGGAGCCCTCAGCTCGACACAGACCCTCGTCCTCTCCCTCCAGCGAACGGCTGAGCAGGCTGTTTCCAGGGACGCCCCGCACACCTGGCCTGATTACTCTTCCAGCCCAGGGGTGCTGCCGCGCTCTCCCCGCAGCCCTGCTGAACACGTGACGCGCTGGGCTCCCCGTCACACCTCAGGGGCTCCGCAGTTCCCTTTGCCTGGAAACCCTCCCCCTCTGCCAACAGACTTCCAGCTCCCCTTAAACCTGAGGCTACAACACCCCTTTCTCCCAGGCTCATCTTCACCAGGAGTCTGCCTGGCGGCAGTGCAGCCTTGGTGTGGGCTGCTGGCCGGGCGAGACGCTCAGCTGCCCTGCACCTCCCAACCCTTAGCGCAGAAGCTGAGGCTCTAGGCCCCCCTAAGGCTGCGGGAGTGGATGGCCCAGGCCCCAGATCAGCTCTGAGCAGAGTACCTTGGAATGAGCCCCTCACTCAGGGGGCTGTCACTGTGCGGGGCATCCTCTTGGAGCAAGCTAGCAGGGCTGCGGGGAGGCTGAGCGAAGGGGCACCCTGAGACTGGCAAGCTTCATGGCAGCAGCTCCTAGTAAATCTAAGTATGCACCTTTGGATATCCTGCTGAGGGGCAAATGGGGTACAGTCTTGCCAAATGAGGGGTCTGGCAGACCTCTGAGTACCCCAGAGAGGGCATTTTTCAGAGGTGCGGCAGAGGCCAGAGGACCCAGAGGCTGGGTTCCAGAGTTGGTGGGAAGTTGGGGGGAGGCAAAGGGAACCCCCTGCACATACTGGTGCACCCCATTCTGCATGTGCAGGGTTTTCTCCCTGGCCCGTCCTGCTGGGTGCTCACGTTCTCTCTGAGAAAAGAAGCTGCCGTGAAGCTTTGCTGCTGGGCCCCCTGGCTGCGCGTGTCGACCAGGCAGGCGGGCTGGGCGGCAGGGACACGTGTGCGGGTCCTGCCAGACCAGGCACTCGGTGTGTGCTGCCTGAATCCTGCTATTTTACAGTTGGGACAATAGCCCCACGGAGGGCAGCGACTCGCTTGAGGCCCGCAGGGAGTGTGGCAGAGGCAGGATTTGAACTCTGGTTCAGCCCTCAGGTCCAACTCTGGGTGCACATCCAATGGCAGAGGCAGGTTCCTGGCCCCAGCCCACCGCTCTGGCAGAGAGGGGTCACCTTAAGAAGACGCCGGGAAAATGCTTCTGAAGAGTATAGGCTCTAAGAGCCTCCCATGCGGCCCTGCAGCCTCCTGAGGAAGGCCGGCTCAAGGGGCAGCCCTGCCCGCTCCAGGAAGGACTGGGGCGGGCATGGCCTCCCAGGTGAGACTGCCCTTCAGCCCCAAGTCTGCATCCCCTGGGAAGGCTGGGATGCAGCTGATGGAAACGCGGCCAGGAGGCTGCGGGCTGGGGGATCTGTACTAGGGGAGCGGCCCTCCTGTCGGGTCACACTGTCTGATCACAGGATCCACACCAAGTGGGTCTGCACGCCTCTGGGATGGGGTGCGGGCGTGCGACTGGCCCTGGGCCAGCCCCCGCAAGCAAGTGCCAGGTCTGCAGGTATCTGACTCCCCGAATCGGAGTCCCGGCCTTCCTTCTGCAAACAGAGAAGGTGGCTGGCACCAGACCCTGACAAATGGCACGGGCAGCCTGTCTCCCTCTGGTGCCAGGAGGTCTGATGGCTAAAGAGGCCTGGGGCTCCCCAGCGTCTGCGCCAGCCGGGGGAGACAGGCGTGGCCCAATCGGCGGCCCATCTCGGCCGCGATGGCTCTCGTTACACTGCGTGCATGCCTGACACCGCCCAAGGCAGCAGAGCTGGAAAATCTATCTGGCATGGGCGAAGACGCAGCCACCCGACGCTCTCCTGCGAGGGTCAGGCTCGCCTTCCTCTGCCCCACTATGGGGTGGCCTGGACACGACACCCAGGAAGCTGACCTATGGAGACCCAGCCCCAGGGGCTGCTGGGCCGTTAGCATTCGTGGCACATGTCACCGGGAATCACTTTGTTTCGCAGTGGCCAAAAGGCAAATGGAGGGAAGTGAAGGGCAGGTAAGGGTGTCGCAGCTGCCCCCCAGCCCAGCCAGACTAGGGCACAGGGCTGGCCACACCGAGTGTCTCCCCGCCTGCCCTGCTCTATCACTTGAAAACACTCACAGAAGCTCCAGGGCTGGGAGACAAATGGTGGCGAACACACACTGGGGTCCAGCCCCACAGTTTTCTAGTCTGAATGGGGGAGACAGTAAACAAGCAACAAGACGAAGCAGACAGCGTGTCACGGGGAGGGGTGCGAGGGCAGGCTTCCTGGGGAAGAGCTTGGGAATGAGGCAGAAGGCCTTGCCCGCCCGGCCGAGATCCCAAGCAAGGGCCTGCAGAAAGGGAGCCTGCGTGCCAAGTCCTGGGTGGGCTGAGCATGATGCCTGAGGACGGGGGGAGGGGTGTGGGCAAATCCTGTGGGCTACAGGACCGGGCACCTCGTGTACCCAACTCTGCAGGAGACCAAACCAGGGAGGGTCCCAGAGACCTTTGGAAGGCAGGTGCCAAACTGAGGGCCACTGGCCACCAGGGGCTCCTGAGCATTTCCTGCAGGTGCTGGGGTCACTGAGGCATGACAGAAGCTCCCCGCCCCCCACGCCTCTACACTCTCCCCATGACTCCACCGCTCCAATGTTAGCCTCTACCTTCCCCTTTCTTGGAAGGTCTGTCCCAGTGTTAGGGGGAACAGGATGTCCTAAAGCTAATTCCATACAGGCTTTGTGGACTCCACCCCCACCCCAGGCCAAAGCCAAAGACACTGGGAACTCCACATCCCATCCCCACCCAAGGGAAGGTAGCTGGGACCTGAGGGTGGGGTTAAGCAGCCAGGTTGGTATAAAGCCAGACACGTGGGCTTTGGAGGGGGGTCCCCCATTTTTGGCTCTCCGCCAGCTTGCAGCATCCGGCCAGCTCTGAGAGTGACTTTGGGTTTCCAGGTCGGCGGATCGGGTAGGACGCATTAAAGACTTTATTTCCCTATTTTCTCCCTGAGTTGTACATTTCCTTATTTCCTTTTCCCTTGTCAATAAACCTTTTATGAACCTTTTGTGTGTGCCTGTAGTGGAGTATTCATAAGTCCCTTGTAAGCGCGGGGGTGAGGACCCACAGCCAGGAACCCGTTCAATATCGGGGCTGCCCTATAACACCAGCAGTTCCGAAGGCTCCCAGCTTCAACCCCTTGAATCACTGTGCAAACGTCACCCCAGTGAGGTTTCCTGATCACTGTCACTCCCTGCACCCCATCTCCTCCAACCCCACTCTATTTTTCACAATAACCTTGATCACCTTCTAATATACCTGGTGTTTCCTCGTTGGATGTTTCGTCTGTCCCTGCTAAAGTACATGTGCCACCACGCAGGAATCCCAGTCTAGTCACTGCTATAAGCTCACCGCCTAGAAGAGTCCCCGGCTCGCAGCGGGTGCTCGAAGAACACTGCTGAAGGAATAGTGCTGCACGAGGCCTTGCTGGGTAAGCACTGGCTGGTCAGCTTCCCGCGTGGGTACAGGTGGACAGAGCAGCCCTCTTCCAGAAAAATTCAGTCTGAACAAGCAACCTGAGACTTGGGCACAAAGATGTTGCCCCCCGCCCCGTGGAGGTGCTTACTGCTCACAAGGCCGTGTAGAAGGCAGAGGCCCAGGAGAGTAACTGGCCCAAGGTCACACAGCTCTGGGCACAAAGAAGAGGTGCACTGGGGACAGTCATGTGGCTCTGAGACCAGGCGGGGCCATCGGGACAGACCAGCACAGGCACGTGCCTGTTGTGGCGCAACGTTCTAGGAGACAGAAAGTGATACCAAGAAGAGTTTAAAATGACACAGAGACAGATTTTGTTGACAGGAGTCAACATTTTCTGAATGAAAAGACTGGAAGGCCAGCTGTGAGGTGTCAGGGCTGGCTGTGAGGCATCAGGGGTCTGGAGTATGGTTACAAGCATACTTTCTCCTCCCTTCTGCTTTTCTGAATTTCCCAAGGTTTCTCCTGTGACCCCAAGTTACTCACAAGAGTCTACCACAGGCCCACTGGCATGGCCTCTTGAAGCTGTTGGAGCTGGCTGGAGCTGGCCTCTTGAAGCTGGTTGGAGCTAGCTGGATCTGCTTGGATCCAGCTGGAGCCAGATAGAGCAGGTTAGAGATGTTTAGAGCTGGTTAAAGCCAGTTTGATCTGATTTGATCCAGTTAGAGCAGGCTGGAGAGTACTAAGTTAGGTTAGCGCTGGTTGGAGTTGTTTGCATCTGTTTAGACCTGGTTAGGTCTGGTTAGATCTGAGGAATCCAGTAAAGTCACTTGGAGCCAGATGGGTCTGGAGCCAGTATGAGCCAGCTGGATCTGGTTCAAGCCTTCTGGAGCCAGATAGAGCAGGTTAGAGCCAATAAGAGCAGGTTAGAGAGGATTAGGTTAGGTTAGAGCTGGTTGGATCTTGTTGGATCCAGTTCAAGTCAGTTGGATCCTGTTGGACCCAGTTCAATCTAGTTAGAGCAGA